GGGACTAACAGCCACTATGTACTTTATATATGTAGGTAGCTATTTATATAACATAGTCACGTACTTGGTGTTCCCCAAAAAAGGATAAGCAGAGGAGTATTAGGTACTTCTTTCCTACCAATTCTTCAACTAAAATCGTAGAAAATACGGGAAAGAGGACACTATACCTCTAGAGGATAGAAGTAAGAATAAAACACTATTTAACACTCTATTCTACATAGAAATTAGGAATTGAAAAATCCAATAAGTCACCTAACATACCTACATAAGATAATTAAAAACAAAAACATGCCTAATCTAAAGCCTACAAAAAATAATTGGCCATAATTCGATAATAACAACTAACTACTTTTATAGTTTAAATAATTCGAATGGAAAATGTAATAATAATGAATGTAATAATTTCAATACAGGTTTGATAGCTCATTATTGGAAGTTATTTAGGCTCGACATGTTTATGGATAGTCCGTAACATCGGCAGTTAGAAATGTTCACATTATTAATTTAACTTGCGCAATCGACTCGTCTTATCACGGATCTTAGATCGGTATTCGATCTGTTTTTATCGATACTTTACTTAATTTTCTCGATTTTTTGATAATGCTATTTTAAATGACATCGTTTTAAATTGATTCTAGTTCTTTCTTGCGATTTTCTTCTTTCTCTTTTTACTAACTTAAATTAAGAACATAAACCATCTTCTTCAGTCTTAAACATATAAAAAAACAACTTTATACCTCTACTAGCGACCCGCCCCGGCTTCGCACGGGTGCAATATGTATTTACATACAAACCTTCCTTAAGAATCACTCTATCTATTTAAAAAAAAACGCATCAAAATCCGTTGCATAGTTTTAAAGATCTAAGCATACATACGGACATACAGCGAAAGCGACTTTGTTTTATACTATGTATTGATAAAGGCTACCTCGTTGGCAAGTGGTCGCAAGTGCGACTGCCGAGCTAGGGGTCTCGTGTTCGATTCCCGTGTCGGGCAAAGTATTACTGTTTTTTTTTTGTTTAAATCCAGTAGTAGAACAGAGCGTGGCATTGTGCCCGGTTTATGGTAATCGGCTCATTGCATATTGCATGGGACTCATAACATAAAATAGTGAAAAGTGGGTGTTACATTGTACAGTGGCATTAAGTGCCGTAAAAAAAGCCTGATTTTATGTTACGTCGTTTATATAAAGTATGGCAAACAGATGGACTAAATAGCTTGTATTTACATATAGGATATTGTTTATCTTAATTATATGGACAAAACCTCGTAGAATGCTCATTCAAATATTAATTATAAGAAAACTTGACACCTTATTTTTAAATTAATTTAAAACACCTAATTATCCTTCGAAATGTTAATTTAGCTCTTTAAATACTAATAATGGAACCAAACAGCCTATTCGTTTTGGAATAACACACAAAATATTGTTTTTATTAGTACCTACTGACATTTTAGTCGACATTTCAATAATTATTCGCCATTTGAATAAATAACTTTCTAACCGTCGGCAGGTGTCCTATAGGTCTATGTAGGCCTAGTGGGCCATAATAATACAGACAGAATAATTACAAAAATGATAACCAATATCAACGGGCTACAAACTCTATTTTCAAGTATCTTAAAAGTATGACTCTTTCTATTTTCTTATTAGATGCAGTCGAGATATTTTTCACTATGCCTTACACTAGATTTTCTGATGAATCACGGATAGTATATGCTACAAACTGTATTTAGTGTTTATTATTGTTTTCGGCTTACTCACCTAATTATTTGACGAGAAACTCGACTAGTTTCAAGCCGTACTAGAGCTCATATTCATGAGCAGCATTTCGAGACCCGCGACGCGGCGACTATCGCGCTGCTGCTGAGCCGTGAGCCTCTAGTATGGCTTGAAACTAGTCGAGTTCCTCGTCAAATAATTACATGAGTAAGTCGAACACATAATAATATATTTAGTATGTCTCACGAAAGTTACGTATATAATGTATTTAGTGTTTGTGAAATTGCACTTTCTATATTATTACATGGACATGGACTTAAAACGACCACCTATCTTCAGACGGACAATCCATATGTTACAAGTCCCATGTAATAGGGTGTGAACCTATTGCCATATACCGGGCAAAATTCCAGATTCCGTGCCACTACTAAGAATTTAAGAAAAAAACACATTAATACTTTGCTCGACCCGGGAATCGAACCTGAGACCATTTGCCCAGCAGTCGCACTTGTGACCACTCGACATAAACATCGATATCTACCTATCCCTTCGGCAAAGAATTAAAATAAATCACCATATTAGAAGACCATAATATTCGTGGGACAACTAATGGCCTGGTTTTAGTTAATTTCACTAATTAATATTAAAACTATGTAGTAGCGAAATAATGACCGTCTGTTTGTTAGTCCATCGCATTTGAAACTCACGGGTTTTAATTAAAATATATTAACGCGGGCGAGTGTACCGTCGATATGTCACAGCGTATGGCAGGATTATCAGTAGGTTCATTTCCTGATAAAGGATTGGTTTAAACATAGAGTTGAATTGACATGATATTAACTTAATGTTTAGTTCATACTTAATTTATATTTTAGTAATAACTATCGTGAGACATATTAAATTAACTAAAAATCGCGGCTTACTCACATAGCGCACGCTGCTTATGAGGAAGAACCCACCCGAGCGTACGGCGCGTCACGTTCCGCGCGCGCCTCAAAGAGCCATCAGACCACCACAGATGGGGCCCAATAGGGCCGATGCCGATTCGGAGTCGCGGAGAACCTAACGGGTAACCGGGGCTCCGGCTCGACGTGCAGGAGAAGGAACGGGGTGGTTTTTAGTCAGTAAGAGTCTGACACTCCCTCCCGCCTCACCCAGGCGGGAGCAGTCATTCGATGATTTTCCCCCCTTAAAAAAAAAAAAAAATGAGGAAGAACCCCACTGTGGTTCGAAATTAGTAGAACTTTTCTCAGTATTTTCACGTCAGTAACCCGTGACTGTTAGTTTACTTAATCTATATTAGATTTTTATTTATATTGTTTTTTATTGTAAACTTACTTTTATACACCTAGGTAAAATGCTCACAGTTAAAAATATATGCTATAGGGTTTTTAAAGGTTTTTTTAATTTAAATTTACTCTCAATGCGTCTCACATTATAAAGATCTTACTAGACACTGTTATTATAAGCTAAAGTAGATAATTATGTTGTTCTAAATATAATGAAATAATATAGATCCCACTTTATACGTTTTTCTGAATAATTCCTTGCCTTTATAGTTACACACAAACAGAACACAATTACACAAGAACTTAAAAAATTTCGTGAACAGCGCAAACTGGGTCCTCTTACTCTAGACTTTTTTATTTGTAAACAAACCGGCCTAAAATAACAGTATGGTAGCAGTAGAGTACGGGATCACAAGATCTAATAATTAACACCAAATTCTACTAGTCTAATGGTAGATAGATTTTATATCTATTTATATTAAGTTTTATTATTGTACTTATGTAGCATCGTTGTATATTCGTTCATGATAAGTATGTATGTATGTACTTATTTATCTCATTTGAAAGTATACCCTCTATTTCGTAAGTTATTGTGTGATAATTCTAGTTTTTGTTTACTTGGATAGTCTATTATAGAAATCTAAACTATATTTTTAAAGAGTTTATTAGTTATTTCAGCTATTATCGTTTAATTATTTTCTCCTATACTTAGTAGGTACGGTACGGAGACGCCATATGCAGAAAATGTGTCAAAATAATCGATTTTGAGACAAGTTATTTGAAATCTAGTCGCACTCAAATCAAATGTCAAATCTAGCAACTTGTTGTTGTTGAATATTTTCAGAAATCAATAATTCACATCTCTCATCAAAAATCTATGAAAATATTTACATTAATCAATCATAGAATCGCCAAAAAGTAGGTAAACTATCTTTGCTTACCATATCGGCGAATGGACAAGATATTATGTTTATATCACTAAATCTTTTATTAGCTACTAGTGACAAAACCTTTCTAATTGGTATATATGTCTAACAACATGGTACTTATACAACATTTTATCTAACAGCTTATGGGCCATAAATATCACGTTTTATTAACATTTTATTGGGCCAAAACTACGTCAAAACGGTATAGACACTCCTAATTAATTTATGAAATAAATAAAATACGTGATTTACGCCATTATGTTAAAATAATTATTTTAAACAAAATAGTTTTATGCCCTCCAGCGTTTGTCGTAGAGAACACCTGATTTATTTATTTAGATTTAAAATTTGAAATAAAAATGATGAGTAAAATTGTGTGACAAAGAATTTACCGTATTACCTATTCTGTTGTCTTATCCTCAAGCTATAAAATACGGTAAATTAATATAAAAAGTCTAATTTATTTAAAAAAAAAACGTTATACGGTAATGTACGCTACACGTGCCGCCGGGTCAGCCATCTTTTTATATTCAAATGGCAGTACTGATATGGTTTATATTGCTATAGAATAATTATAAACAAATCGAATTACATTAAAGTTTGAAGTAAGCTACTTTAAAATTACGCTACGTTCGTCTCTGCTTAAATAGATTATCACTAAGAAGGTATGTCTACTGCTACACAACTCCTTCTACTTACACACTACTTAACAATAATAACCGCGTTTATCATATCTATAAAAGCCTTTACCCAAATTATAAAATACACCAATTACATACACATATAATAATTATGTAATAAATACTCCAACATCTAACACTCATAACATTTAGATACACCAAATTAGCATACAGCAATGATGATGATCGTGAGTGGCATCTACCTAGTTCATGCAACAACCCGCCCCCAAAATAAATACACCAACAAAAATACACAGATTATACATAAATAATTAAAATATAAAAAAGAAAACGAAAAAGAAAAACGCAGGATATTATTTGTTTCTGGTCAAGCAATGACAATGGATGATGCCAATGTTCGATTTTTGAAATACTCACCTTTGACGAAAAAAGCGTCAATGTTGGCGATGATTCCTGTGAAAGAAACAATAAATATCCTGCTTTAATTGCCCAATTGTTTTTTTAGAAAAATAAAAGTAAAAACGCAAGTAAATAATGAAATAAAAACAATTTTTCAAAAGGTTGACAATAAGGGAAACACAGTAACACAGTTTTTTTATCGACAGTTCCTATATAAAAGAGAATAATACCACAATTACATCACGTATTAACTTAGGCTTTAATTGAAGAATTTCAATTATTTGAACATTACATCATTTTACCAACGAAATTCTTAGTATACAGGTTAAGAATTACATGTGCAGAATAAATTAATTATATTTACGTTACATCCTATAGTATTGAGCATTCACTAGCTGACGAAATACCTTTAACAGTTAAGAGTAAATATCCCAGTACGAGGTTTGTTTACTGTCTCGGTAATAAGTCTCTGTACTGTAGTATGACTAACATCCTCAATCGCATTATTTCTTAGAAGAAAGCTTTAGAAATTACCGGCACGAGGAAAAATCCATTCAAACACGTCATCATTCAGTTCCCAGTACTGAAAGCCTTTTTATTCCTTGCCTCATAATAAGATGGTCCAATTCGTGAGAAAAATTCAGCAGACATTTAAACAACGCATAGGTTCGAACCGAACTTTTTGGTGAGACGAGGATGAATTAAAATAAAACATTGTCTATGGTTAGCCTGTATTGAAAATGGAATTAGCCGCCATCTTTTATTTTTTTGCGAAGTATGATAGATTAAAGCGGATAATAAAATGTAATTGCAATATTTATTACCGATAGTTGTTATTTTTTACTAGAAACACGTGTGCAAATTACAAGTATAACAAAATTTGATTACAAGGTTTTATCCTGAACCGAAAAAAACAGACACATAGTCTATAAACAAAATCATTGCACGTCGGTCTTCGGTTTGGTAAAAAACTCGGCATAATTATACCAGAAATGAATGCTAAACGTTAATATTTATTACTTCAATACCGATTAAACGTATCGTAGTACAATGGATGGCAAAAAATCGGCAAAAACAATGGCAGACACTTGGGAATCGCATGCGCAAGGCAGTGAACAAAAAAGATGAACCCACTCTTTCCTAAATTATCCTGTCATGCTCGCCTATAAAATGCAATTGGCTTAAAGAACCGAAATCGAAACTCGTTAGAATAAGGCTTGTTCACACACGTTACAAACTTACCACATATACTGTAGTGGATACGATAATATTCATTTTTCAATTCAATATATCCTGTAATTAGCGAGGCTGCTTAAGTTCTAGTAGTAAATACCAATGAAAAGTGACCTTAAGTTAATTTATTGCATTCATATTTCACTATGACCTATGAATACACAGATAAAAATGGATTATCGCTTAGCAAGAATCATAAAACTTTTTACATTAAAATCGTAAGTTATGTTCAAACAAGAGTACCAAGATATTATTTAACTAAAACACGATTTATTAATAACCAAAACGGAATAAAATTTCATACGATAAATCAATACAAAATCGATTTACCAAACGAAGTAATGTGATATGTGAGATGTAATCTCAGAAATCAATAACCGTACAATACCGGAACTGTGTGTGTAGCCTTAAAATTACGACGAGTTATCCAATTAGCAGTCTTATGAGTTTAAAATAAAGTTGAGTTTTAAGTGTGGGGATTAGGGAAGGTTGGTTATGCGCAATAGGAGCATGCGCGTACCTGTGCAAGGTGACCTGCGCAAGGGCACGGCTGCACAAGGCTAGTGCAGCCCCCTCCCGGCGGTCCCGCGGGCTCCGACACGCCATTACCGAAATGACCATTATGGGTGTGTAGGGATGTACCGGATATCGATAAATGTAAAAGGAATTTAGATTCGATATTGATAATAGGAAATTGGCAATTGATGTGCTGTGCGTCATTGTTGGCCAATGCGAATCTTACAATGAATTCTGTTGGCAGTAAGAAAATAGGTACTAAGTTTTTACCAATGTTAAAATGCTTAATCATTGTTGGTTGGCCCATTAATGTTATGGCATGTAACCCATCCACAAGATAGATTAGAAAACTTGATACATTTAAAGTGAACTGTTAAACTTCGTAATTCACAAGGTCATAGAACAATAAGCTGAAAGCAATCTGTCATTGATCTTTAAAATTGAAGCAATTTGCGCAGACGCCGGTTTAGACATCAGATTTAAGTTTTCATTTGTTTCAATTTGTACCAATATAAAGCACTAGCTTATGACCATTTGCACGCAAACAGTGATTACTAGTTCATACATCAATTTTAATTGTGATAAAAATCTATAGCAAAAAATATGCCAAGGCAATTTGTGTGGTCTAAATATCTGTTAAGCAAAACATGTTTAAAACATTACAGACAGTACCTACTATAAGTAATCTTGTTATTACGTATATACGTTTAAATAAGCTTCTAACTGATTTCGAATTATTTACCTGAGTAAAAACTAACTACACGAATCTTGAAATACTATAGACAGTGTCTATGTAGTTACTGCAATCAAATTTCGTCACCATACTTACCATTCAAGATTGTTTTCGTTTTTTACTATATTTTATGCAAATAAATATTAATGTAGTTAATTAATTAAATAAAAAAAGTATGCATTTAATTAACCACGTCAAAAGCAAGCAAATCATTTTTTTTCTCTATTCAGGGAGTTATCGACAGAATCTCCAATTCCCATCGCCCCATCTCTAATCTCATGGCAAAAGTCAAAGCCAGACAAACTAAGCTCGCAGCGACAGGTGTTGACGCCGATCGTACGCGATGCCTTGCCGAAATAATAGTACCTACGATATCCTTACTTATATTCTAAATCGGAAAGTGAGTTTGTTTGTTTGTTCCGCTTTCACGCCGTAACTACTAAACCGACTGCTTTGAATTTTTGCAGACGTAAAGTTAGAAGTCCGGATTAAATAATAGAGTACTTTTTATCCTGGAAAAATTTTATATACCCGAGGGAAAACAAAAGTATTGGTATAGATGGCGCTGTGTGTATTGGTGTATGTCACATAGGCTACTTTTTATCCTTTTGTGAAGCGAGCGAAGCCGCGGGTAAAAGCTAGTAAAACATAATTCCAGCCATTTACGATAGTGGTAAACATAAGGAGGATATAATGAGAAGTATTATTTAACAGAAGATCTTTTGGTAGAAGGTATTAGGAATCAATGGTTGTGATCTTGTGATTGATATATCGAGTAGTAAGTGTTTACAATTTCGACGAAACTATTTAAAATAACCCTACTGCAGACGCTGTGGAGCAAAACGTACCTTATATAGATAGATATGAAGTAAGTAGGGTGTTCCTTGTTTATGGTCCACAGATAATATTAGATATTAAGTATTCTATGATTTCAGTAAAATAATAAGTCTGTGAACCATGGACAAGACTTCACTTCATTTTAATTTTTTTAGCTTTTATTTTATTTTATTTTTATTTTTGGTTATGTTATGTGTGTTTTGCGCAAAAATAAATGGTTTTTCTTTCTTTCTTTCTTTTCTTTCATATATTTAACCTTCAAATTGATGACAAGTCTAAACCATAAGGCATAAACAATAACTGAATAATCTTATGGCCAAATTAAATGAACCACAAATACTTTCTCAATCCCATGAATCTTATATATAATAAGCCTTTTATTCCCGAAGGGGTAGGCAGAGGTGCACACAGAAGTAACACCCACTTTTCGACATTCATGTTATGAGTCCCATGTAATACGGGGTGAGCCTATTGCCATATACCGGGCACATTTCCAGACTCCATGCTACTACTGAGATTTTTTTCTGAATCGAATCGGAGGCCTCTTGCCCGGCAGTCGCACTTGCGACCACTCGGCCATCGAGGCAGTCGTTCTTACAACTACTAAACTATCGACGTAACCATTCATATTGCCAAAGGACACCATTTTAAGGAAATATGAAGCGTGGGTGTTACAACATCGTTTTAGAATATAAAACTATTTCACACGCTTCGTACCATAATGGCGGGTAATGAGTAATGTATGCAAATCAATTGCTCGGCCATTGGACCATACCTACCGATTATTGCCGATGCTCACCGATGATTCACGATCGTAACACCGCCATTGCGTTGTGCAATGTTTTTCAACATTAATTTTGAAGATTCTAGATTAAACTGGTAGTGTTTTGTTTTGTATTGTTATTTGTTTTGATCTAAACTCGAAATAGATAAGTTACTTGTATTTTATCTAAATATTTAAAATATTTTATGACAAAAGTATTGTAAATGGTGTCATCATTCTCAATTATTTAATAAGTAATGTATCGTTACATAACTTGAATTACTATTACTTATAATAGAATACATTCAAGTTAAACTTTCTTTATATAACATAAACATAATATAACGAAACTAATTTCTATATCTAAATAATTCCCATCACCCCATCTCTATTCTCATTGCAATTAATTCCTAATAATAATCGAGAAAATTCACAAGAAATTAACAAATTGACATTAAGATAACTCAAAACCAAATAGCTGATGAATTAAACATAAAATGCAGAAAAACAAGGGTAATAATATCAATACCATACTAAAAATAAAAACTGAAAACAGCAACCGCTATTTCCAACTACCAAAATATCGGCCATTTTCCTCCATCAACGTCAAATAAACAAAAAAGATGAAAGTTGCGAAATCAAAACAAACGAATTAACAAAAGTCGTAACTAAATAACCCTCCGGCCGCTGCACTTAATTTTTCACTATTAACCAGTAAATGGGGAAGTCGGAGTGACAAGTGCGGAGGGGGATGAGAATGGGGGGTGGCACTGACAATTCTGCTGACCCAGTTTTGGAGGCTCGCTTCCGGCCTTTCACTCAACGCTAAAACTAGTGGAAACGAACGACAGTGTAATTTAAATTCCCGCTTGTTGCTGTAATTAGTTTTTAAAACATAAGCTTCTGTTTTTTGTTTACGTTCCTCTATTTAATGCAAAATTATAATTTCTAAGTATAAAATTGCATTACGAA